TCATAAACATGCAAGATGTCAGGTATGTCTTGCTACTTCTACTTACACTTAGGTCACACTACACATTCATGTACAAGCATATATATACACACCCCTCTGGGTTTTCTTCTATTTTCTTTCTGGTTCTTGTTCTTGTTTATTCCTCTTATCTCCATGGGGAAGTGGAACAGATTCTTCCTCCGTAAGCCATGCGTGTTGTAAGAGGCAACTAAAATGCCGGGAGCAAGGGGCTAGTAACCCCTTCTCCTGTATATATTACTAAATGTAAAGGAGAAACATTCGTTTTTTTCCTTTTGGGTCACCCGCCTCGGTGGGATACGGCCGGTGTGTTGAAAGAAAGAAAGAAAGATATATATATATATATATATATATATATATATATATATATATATTTATTTTAATTCTTGGACCCTGAGAGAAATTTTGAGATCATGAGTCTGAGCCCTGAAAGGGTTAATTATTCCTGGGCTCATAGTCCCACAAATACCTGCTGATGGTTCCAGGGATCATAGTCCCAGAGTGTTTGTGAAATACCTGTGACTGGTTTTGAGGGTTCTTCTACCCTTGCAGCCTGGCCTGAAGCCAGAATACTTTGCTGACTTTCTGGTCAGCCAGGCTATTGCTGCTAGCAGCCAACAGACCCACATGGTCATCACATCCTGACTGATCATGCATTTGCAAAAAGTACTGGTTAGTTTCTTCTTGAAAACATCTACCTTTAATTTTGGAAATACTATTTATATCTGCTGGTACCAGAGTGAAGAGTCTTGAGCCATGGATGCTGCACAGTATTCTACAATTGTGCCTATTGTACCCTTGCTTGTCACTGCCTCAATAACTAGTAGGTCAGCCAGGCTGTTGATACTTGCAGCTCACAGACTACTGTATGAAGACAATCCAAATAATCAGGAACAGTTCACAAAAAGTTGTGAAGATTTCTTCAGGTGTTAACGAGCCTCTTAGTATTTCTTCATATTTGAACAATGTTATTATCCATTTATAATAATTCTGTGATAATCTTCACAGATTATTGATTTATTTTCTTCCAATTTCCATGTGTGAAGACAATGAAGTGGAGAAGTGAAGAAGAATCCTTCCTCTATAAACCATTTGTATGTCATAAAAGGCAACTAAATGCTAGGAGTAAAGTGCTAGTAATCCCTTCTCTTGTATACATTACTAAATGTAAGAAGAAAAACTTCATAAAAGCATTTCTTCTTTTTTGTGTCACCCTGCCTTGGTGGTGGACAACAAGTGTGTTAATTTTTTTTACTGACTCAAGACAATTTGAGACAGCTAATTAAGAGAGGGGTGAGCATTTTTGGAGCGATAAAAAAAAAATGAAAAATTATGGAAAATAATGCTTTGTTACTGAAAAATAGTTAAGAATTCTGGCAACATTGTGATGTCATCAGCTTGTTTCTATCATATTTCTAAGTGTGTTTCTCCTTAAATGTAATTTTTGTGTTCTTGCTCTCATAAAAATATATATGTTGGCAATTAGTCGGCTTTTTTCCTCTCTCTCCAAAACTTACGATTTTTATGATTATTTCATTAAAAATACACTATATAGCAACATCTCTGAGAACTCCATTCAAGTGCACGAACTCATGACACTTCAGGTGCCTGTGGGGTCTCAATAAGTGTTGACATGCACAACACGTTGAGATTTGGTACGCCATATCCGTAGAGTTTTACAGAAAACAATACATGTACATGTGCAGGACAAGCCACAGGGGTTGGGGTGGAAATCTTTAGCTCAAGTACTTTCACACTGCTCAGTACATCATCAAGAGCTGTGCAATGTTGCAGGGGAGCAACCAAAGCAGGGAGAGAGGTCTCAGTAGTGTAGGTGTCACCGTCCACGGTTACCCTTAGACTGGGTTAGTGGTTGGTGACAACCTCACCCTACCATCATCCCCCTACTCCCCAAATGGGGTAGGAGGGTTTCTGAGATGTCAAGTATGAAATTATAAGATATAAAAAGCCAGCCCTAAGCTTTTTCTAATTGTTTATAACAGGTCACGTGGTTTGAGAAAATAAGATTCTCATTAGATACTGTAGACATGGATTGCTATTATTCTGTGTGACCTTTTCAAATAATGAAAGAAAAATTACAATGTGCTCTTTGCCCATTTAAATGTCCTGCTCTGAGGTATTCGAATGTTCTACCGATGTACTCAGAAGTATCTCTTCCTAAATATTGTCTACTATTTTTCTCATTGTTGGTTAATATGCCATACATGGGGATCTTCTTTGCCTATCCAATAATATTAAACTTCTAACTTGCATGGTTGGTAAGATCTCAGACGCACATATTAAAAATAATGTTGACCTCACTGAGAGGCTCCAGAAATTAAATGTCCCTCATGGCTTTTCTTTAGTGAGCTTTGATGTCACAGCTCTGTTCACCAAAGTCCCTGTCCCTGACTTGCTTTCATACCTCGAAGAGGAACTAGAAAACTTCTCCATGCCCTTCCCCATGAAAACAATAACTGAATTGATAAAACTTTGTGTTACTGACTGTAAATTCGTGTTTAAAGGGAAATTCTATGCTCAAAAACAAGGCATGGCAATGGGAAATCCCCTTAGCTCCTTGCTCAGCAACCTTTATATGGAATTCTATGAGACCAGACTTCTTAAAGACATTCTCCCAGATAAAACTAGTTGGTTCAGATACGTAGATGATGTTCTTTTCCTGTGGCCTAATGATCACAACATTGATGCGTTTCTTCCCAGACTCATTGGCTTAGTACCTTCTATTAAGTTCACGACAGAACATGAAATAAATAACACTTTGCCGTTCCTAGATGTTTTAATCCATCGTGTGGACAGAAAATTAAAATTCACAGTTTACAGGAAGTCCACCAATGTGTCGTCATACATTCACTACTATTCCAACCACGAAACCAGGGTAAAAAGGAGCGAGTTTCTCACAATGTTCTTGAGAGCATTGTGCATCTGCAGTCCAGAGTACCTAGAGGATGAAATCAGCAAGATATTCAACATAGCCACAAAACTAAGATATCCTAAGGATTTTGTCGAGAAGGCACTAATGTCGCAAAAAAGACTTTCTACAGGACTGAACATAAAGAAGTGATGGCCAGGAAAAATGTACTAGTTTTACCATACAATGAGAATCTGGCTTGCCTTCGTGAGACATTAAAAAAGATCAATACAGTGGAACCTCAAATATCGAACTTTCTTCGCTCCAGACGGCTGTTTGAGTGCCATTACCGAATTAATTTATTTCCATCAGGAATAATGTAAATTAGATTAGTTCATTTCAGACCCTCTAAAATACACTTATAAAAGCACATACAAAAATACACTTACATAATTGGTCGAGTTGGGAGCAATTTGATATTTGAGGTTCCACTGTATTAACCTTGCTTTCAAAAACACGGGGACAGTGAAATAAAGGCTGATTAAAAACACACCCTCCAACAAAGTTGGTGAGGTTTACAAGGTCCCATGTATTCAGTGTCCTCTCTCTATATCGGTCAAACATGTAAATTTCAGGAAACCAGAACTACCCATCATAAATATTCAGTCAGGACAGGGCAGGAGTCAAATGCTATCTTGAACCACGTTAGCACATGTAATCACCCACCGGGGTGGCATACTGCCCAGATTATAGTACCAAACAGTTCTGTCATGGAAAGAAACATAACTGAATCTTCCCTCTTGAAACATGAAAAGAATACAGTATACAACTCAAATTATGGGTTATACAAGCTTGATAACTATTTAGCAGAGTCCATTGTACACAATCTTAAACAACAATGCCATACAAAATCACAGGATTGTTCATTATGCCAAGTGGGTTGATGGATTGGTGATGCCCGACCAGTGTCTACGCACCAAAACTTCACACCACGTCAGTTGTGATGGTTATATAACGCGTGTAGCTGTTAATGTACTACATGTATGCAGTGACAAGCACACAAGATAACGAGATAATGTAAGGAGGGGTTAAAGGGTATTAGTAGAATTTAGATCATAGAAATATTATCTGATAGGCATAGAAGATCCCCATGTATGGCATATTAACTGACAATGAGAAAAATAGTAGACAATATTTAGGAAGAGATACTTCTGAGCACATCGGTAGAACATTCGAGTACCTCAGAGCAGGACATTTAAATGGACAAAGAGCACACTGTATTCCTTTCTTTCATTATTTGAAAAGGTCACACAGAATAATAGCAATCCATGTCTACAGCATCTAATGAGAAACTCATTTTCTCAAACCACATAACCTGTTATAAACGATTAGAAAAAGCTTAGGACTGGCTTCTTGTATCTTATAATTTCATACTTGACATCTCAGAAACCCTCCTACTCCATATAGGGAGTAGGGGGATGATGGTAGGGTGGGGTTGACACTAACCACTAACCCAGTCTAAGGGTAACCATGGACGGTGACGCCTACGCTACTCTGAAACCTCTCTCCCTGCTTTGGTTGCTCCCCTACAACACTGCACAGCTCCTGATGTTGCAATGAGAAGTGTGAAAGTACTTGAGCTAAAGATTTCCACCCCCCCGTGGCTTGTCCTGCATAGTTAAGATCGCCCGTCTCCGATTGTTTGCAACATATACATGTATGAATAACTCAGAAATAAGTTATTGACATTGTGTTTCATTTTTTGCTAAAAGTATTAATAGGAGTGTCATGATTAATGGTGGGCTGAAGGACTGCCAACATGTTGAGGACAACCAGGATAAATGTAATTTGAATATGAAGTACTTTCACTATTATCTGACCATGCTACAGTATTTTCATACTATAATTTTCCAGATAAAAAATGCATTCTGTAAAAAAATATTTTGAAAAAGAAATGCTGTAAAAAAATTTACTCTCATAAAACAACATTTTAAATTATTATAAAACTTAATACAAAGACAATATGTTGTAACTGAAATTTTTCAGTAAATAACTAAATATATTTGATGTTATGACTGTGTTATCAAACATGATGTACACTGAGGTAACTAACCCCTTTCTCTGACAAGAGTTTAGATGATTCTTGAAGAAAGAGTGCTCCCTCATACCAGATGTCTGGGTGGTGAGAGAGACACAAGAGACACTGTTCATAAGCAAACCTCACTCGCTTGGTCACCAGTGTCTGATCGTCGGTACGAAGAGGGTTGTCTTTCTCCCACCTGATGTATCTCTTCCAAATTTCGACCTACAAATTTTAATGATGATTTAACTTTGCATATGCACATCACTGATATTGTACCTGCAAATTAAATTACATAGCTCAAAAAATGGTTTCCATTATCACCAAATAATGAACTGGTAATGTGCAGTAGTTATTTTATAACATACATGAATTTTTCTTGTACAGTCATACCCCACTTTACATCATTTCGGCTTATGTCAAATTCACCTTTTACACCACCTTTTCTAGAGTAAATTTCAGTTCAGCGAACGTCATTATGTCCGATGTTACATCAGTCAGCAACGTCACCTACGACGTACTACGACGCGAAATAAATTTTTCCATAAAAACATATTTAAAATAAATAAAACACAAAAATTAACAATAAAAGATAAAAGAAGCTAAAATACCAATTTAAAATACAATAAAACACATTAAAACAAAAAATATAAACACATACAATAAAATATTTACATTTAAAAATTATGAACAAAAGTCTGTCCTTACACAGTTCCGTCGTCTTGTTACATAGGGGTGTTGCTGCTGGTTCTCATTCAAAACAAGGGCGATGCCATATACATTTTTGCCCATGCTGCAATTATGTGCTTGTTTTGCTTTTCGCTCTTATTTTTGTGATTATTCCTTTACTGTGTCTGTGTTAGCCATGGGTTTTAAGAAGGACAGTGCTAGTGATTCCAAGCGTAATGTGGTTACGATGGAAGATAAGTTCAACATGATTAAAAGCGTCTTGTTTACACTAATTGTAAGGTATTTTCATCATACCTAAGGCATTTTTAAGGGCAAATCACAAGGTAAATAACATAATTTTTTGTTTTCATTATTCTTTAAATAAAATAAAGTTTAAAATGTGTGTTTAGTGTTCTTTAAGGTTTAGCAATAGTTATATTCTCTCCTGAATTATTAATGCTAGTTTTATGGTGTGTTTCATCATTTTAAGGCATTTTTAAGGGATTACTTCTGGTTTGTCAACAACCAGGTTACGTCACAGGTCTTGGAACCAATTAATGATGTAGGGCAGGGTATGACTGTAATAGTAAATTCAGGTACTGTACAGTAAAAGCAAATCTGCCTAAATATTTTGGGTTGGTTCCAGAGAAAGAGAAAAAGAGGGTAGATAATACCTACTCAAGTGTTAAACTTAAGGAGAATGAACTACTTTATAGAAGAAAAATATATTTCCCTATATTTATAAATATACAGCCTCTCCTCACTTAGTAACGTACTCGTTTACCAACAACTTGGACTTACGATGGGCTCTCTGACATGATGAGATTTTGTTCGGATTTTTAACCCCGGAGAGTTAGCCACCCAGGATAACCCGTAAAGGCAGTGCGTTATCGAGGGATTGTCTGTCTTATTTCCATTGGGGTCCTCAATCTTGTCCCCCAGTATGCAACCCACACCAGTCAACTAACACCCAGATACCTACTTGCTAGGAGAACAGGACAACGGGTGTAAGGAAACGTGTTGAAATGTTTCCACCCCACTGGGAATCGAACCCGAACCCTCAGCGTATGAAGTTAGAACTTTGTCAGCCAGGCAATACAGATAAACAGTACACTACTCTATAAACATTTAAAAATATACCAGAAATGTTATAAATGGTGCAAAGGTGACATTAAAACAATATCAAAGATGGCTGACACAAACCCACTACCTTTATAGTAAGCTCCTTACTTAGTGACAAATTTGTTTACCGATGTGGTCTTAGGAACGGAACTCCATCATTGAGTGAGGAGAGGCTGTACTGTGCATTACAGAAGGTCCTCGAATAACGTCTTTTTGTTCAACATCGTTTCGTTATAATGTTGATGAGAAAAAATCTAATAAATACAAATTATTGTAAAGTAAAAATTCTTAAAGTATATGATAATCATACAAATGCACAACAATAAACGACACAGTATAAAAGCACTCGGCGAGTCCACCATATTTGTTAATGTTTGTTTTTGAACTGACTGGTGATAGCTGCTACTTCTTACAATTTTCACTTTGTAAACATTTATTCCTTGATTCAACCTTGTTGCAATGAGTGCTTAACATGCACTGTGCACCCCTGATGTCATATGGCCAGAAAAAACAGAAAAAGTGTAACATTAAAACAAAACTACAGTGGACCCTCGACTAAAAGCTGCAATGTCTAATGCCAAAATCAGCTAACAGCTCTCTTTGGCATCAAAAATTGGCTCAACCAACGCCAAAAACTTCGCTAAGGGCTTTCGTCCAGAATGTGTCCATGTGGCCTGAGCGAGCCCGGCCACTCCAAGACTCCATGTATAGCCAGTGTGCCATTGTTTACAAGACGTTGCAGTCGATTCCACTCGTACGTGCGATATATTTTGTATTATTCTATTGTTTTTAGTGTTTCTAACTGCTAAATAAGCTGCCATGGGCCCCAAGAAAGCTTCTAGTGCCAGTCCTTTGGTAAAGGATGTGAGAAACATGTCAGAATTCAAGAAAAAGTATGTAGAAAAATACGAAAGTGGTGGTGGTAGAGGGTGGTAAAGATGGTGGTAGAGGGTGGTAGTGGATGTGATGGTGGTAGTGGATGTGATGGTGGTAGAGGGTGGTAGTGGATTTGATGGTGGTAGAGGGTGGTAGTGGATGTGATGGTGGTAGAGGGTGGTAGTGGATGTGATGGTGGTAGAGAGTGGTAGTGGATGTGATGGTGGTAGAGGGTAGTAGTGGATGTGATGGTGGTAGAGGGTGGTAGTGGATGTGATGGTGGTAGAGGGTGGTAGTGGATGTGATGGTGGTAGAGAGTGGTAGTGGATGTGATGGTGGTAGAGGTGGTAGTGGATGTGATGGTGGTAGAGGGTGGTAGTGGATGTGATGGTGGTAGAGGGTGGTAGTGGATGTGATGGTGGTAAAGGGTGGTAGTGGATGTGATGGTGGTAGGTGGTAGTGGTGTGAGGTGGTTGATGGTGTGTGATGGTGGTAGTGAGGGTGGTAGTGGTTGTGATGGTGGTAGAGGGTGGTAGTGGATGTGATGGTGGTAGAGGGTGGTAATGGATGTGATGGTGGTAGAGGGTGGTAATGGATGTGATGGTGGTAGAGGGTGGTAATGGATGTGATGGTGGTTAGAGGGTGGTAGTGATGGTGGTAGTGTTGTGATGGTGGTAGAGGGTGGTAGTGGTGTGATGGTGGTAGAGGGTGGTAGTGATGGTGGTAGAGGGTGGTAATGATGGTGGTAGTGGTTGTGATGATGGTAGAGGGTGGTAGTGATGGTGGAGAGGTGGTAATGATGGTGGTAGTGGTTGTGATGGTGGGTAGAGGGTGGTGGTGGATGTGATGGTGGTAGAGGTGGTTGTGGAGTGATGGTGGTAGAGTGGTGTAGTGATGTGGAGAGGGTGGTAGTGATGGTGGTAGAGGGTGGTAGTGATGGTGGTAGGTGTGGTTGTGATGGTGGTAGAGGGTGGTAGTGATGGTGGTAGTGGTTGTGATGGTGGTAGAGGGTGGTAGTGATGGTGGTATGATGGTGGTAGTGGTTGTGATGGTGGTAGAGGGTGGTAGAATGGTGGTAGAGGTTGTGATGGTGGTAGAGAGTGGTAGTGATGGTGGTAGAGGGTGGTGTGATGGTGGTAGAGGGTGGTAGTGATTGTGGTAGAGGGTGGTAGTGATGGTGGTAGAGGGTGGTAGTGATGGTGGTAGAGGGTGGTAGTGATGGTGGTAGTGGTTGTGATGGTTGGTAGAGGTGTGGTAGTGATGGTGGTAGTGGTTGTGATAGTAATAGAGGGTAGTAGTGGTTGTGATGGTAATAGAGGGTAGTAGTGGTTGTGATGGTAATAGAGGGTAGTAGTGATGGTGGTAGAGGGTGGTCCAGTGACTCTCAAGCTGGTCACAGTGGCATTAAAAAGCCAAGAAGGGAGGTAACCCCAGAAAAGATCTTGTTACCTGAAGTCTTTAAGGAAGGGGATTCTCCTTCCAAATTGTAAACTCCTCCATCCTCTGCCCTCCTCCCATCTCATCACTCATCAATAAGTCTCAGTAAAGGTAAGTGTCATGTCAGTATTGTTTATTGTGCATGTATCATTGTTTTCTGTGTAAGGAAATATATATTTCATGTAAAAAATTGTTTACTTTAATACTTTTGGGTGTCTGGAACAGATTAGTTGGATTTCCATTATTTCTTAGGGGAAAATTAATTCGGCTAGAGGATAAATCGGCTAAAGGCTAGCTCTCTGGAACGGATTAAAGGCGTTAGCCTATGATAAAATTGGTTTCATTATATGTTATTTTGCTTAACGTCACAGTTTCCAAGAGCCTATCGATGACATGAAGTGACGACTTACTGTACTATAAAACTGATTTAATACACATGATTAGTTATCCATATCTTTACATATTGTGCAAGTAATGAAATGTCACTGTTAGTGGATGGGTGGGAGATCAGTGGTCTCAACCAACTCCACCTGAGTTACTCACCTGTTTAGTTTCTTCTGGCAGAGCAGATGGTGGTATACTTGGCAAGTGACGGTTTAAGCCTCGTGTCTCAGCCTCCAGCTCCTTACCAACTCTCCTGGCATTCATGTAGTCTCGTCCCCTCTCTATGTTCATTTTCTCCGCAATAATTGGATTGATATTTTTTTCAAATTCAAGATAGTCTCTCCACAACTGCTCAATATTAGCCATTGGTGTAACAATTCCACGCTGGTATACCTGTTGCAAAATTTGATGTTATCATTCCTATAAAGAAATTGCAAATATGAATTTAAAGACCTCAAAGATACAATTAAAAGTCTTCAACTATAACTTTTATCTTCAATACACTTACAATGAGGTTCACAAACAACTGGGCCATATACCATACCTACTAATAATTTTCTGTACCAAATAAATCATAGGATACCATTATATTTTTATTTTATTTAACAAAACAACAACTTAAGTTTTTGTGTGATGATGGCTTTAACACTTTGAAGGTCCAAGCCATAGATCTATGTCTTGTCCAACAGGGTCCAAGAATTTTCAAAAAAAAAATTAATTTTTTCTTATGAAATGGTAGAGAATCTTTTTCTGGAGGTAATAAAACAAAAAGTACAAAATTTGATGGAAAACTGATGAAATTACACTCACAAATTTTACTGCATCAGCGATATTTAACCATCAGTGATATTGAACCATCAGCGATTTTGCCTACTTTGACTCCTATTTTAGGCCAATTACATTATTCCAATTAACCAAATTCTTAGCTATTTTGCTAGTATTACTTCTATTTTATCAACTGAGCTTAAGAAACTGCCCAATCAACTATTTCAACTACCCAATAAGATTTTTCACTAAATCCTGCAGTGTACTCTCTGAAATACATTCTAAAATACATACATCAAAAAATTATTCTAAAAAAATAAAGCAATTTTACATTCTTTGGCCCTAAAACTGCTTTCAGGTGAAATAATATGGGAGTTACTGGTATTGGTACCTTCATTCATGATATGTTGGCTACAATCAATGATGTAAGGATCTGAGTATCCAAACTGAGATTCTACTGGCACCAATAGAATCTCAGTTTGGATACTCAGACCCTTAAAGCCCTATTTTACACCCAGTAATAAATAAGGTACTGCTGCCTACATTATTTTCAGTATCAGTGGCAGCTATCTTGGTTTTAACCCCCTTCCAGTAGTTGGATTTTGGTAGATTTTTTTCTGGTCTTCAATGCACCCAGTGGGGCCATAAAAAAAGTTGAAAGAAGTGTATGAATTCTTTGGAGAGGTCTGGTGGTTTACTGACCCATCAAAATAATTGTACAGTTAACATCAATGGTGCATTCACAACTTGAATGTTGTTTTCTGCTCATAGCTTCTTTCTAGATAGGAGGGATGACAGAAAAGCAAATGAGAGAGAGAGAGAGAGAGAGAGAGAGAGAGAGGAGAGAGAGAGAGAGGGAGAGAGAAGAGGGGAAGGAACAGAGACAGAGAGAGAGAGGACAGAGAGAGAGAAGAGAGAGGAGAGAGAGAGAGAGAAAAAGAGAAGAGAGGAGAGAGAAGAGAGAGGGGGAAAAGGGAGTGAGGGGAGGAGGAGAGAGGGGGAGGGGAGGGAGGGGGGGAGGAGGGAGGAAGGGGGAAGGGGAGAGAGAAGGGGGGAGAGAGGAGAGAGGAGGAGAGAGAGAGGAGAGGAGGGAGAGAGGGGGAAAGGAGAGAGAGGGGGGGAAGAGAGAGAGAGAGGAGAGAGAGGAGAGAGGGAGAGAGAGAGAGAGAGAGAGAAGGGAGAGGAGGAGAGAGAGAGAGAAAAGGGGAGAGGAGAGAGTGAGAGGGGAAGAGGGGAGAGGAAAAAGGAGGAGAGATTAGGAGAGAGAGGAGAGGAGAAAGAGGAGGGGGAGAGAGAGGGAGGAGAGGGAGGAGAGAAGAGAGAGGAGAGAGAAGAGAGAGGGGAGAGTACATATACAGGGGCCCCCCGCAAACGATGCATCACATAGGTTTTTTCGCATACGCTTATTTTAAATCGAAAAAAAATTTTTCCCACATACCGTTTAAAAAAACCCGCTTACGATTTTCGTCCGAGAGCGCCCCATGTGGGGCCTGAGCCACGCTCAATGTTCCGCCGGGGCATTTTTTTCCACCCAGCCTCCGCGTAACATCCAAGCTACAATCGGAAATTTTTTATTATTCAGTGTTTCGGTGCTTTTTCTGGGAAAAAAAAGTGCCCTGGGCCCCCAAAAAAGCTTCTAGTGCCAACCCACGCTAAGGGTGAGAATTACAATAGGATGAAGAAAAAGTCATTGAAAAGTATGAAAGTGGAGTGCATGTCTCGAGTGGCCGGTTGTATAAAAAACCCCAATCAACCCTCGCTACTATTGGTGGTAAGTGTCTGCTGCTGCATGTCAGCTGCTGCTGCTGCTGACTGAGTGCTGCTGCTGCGTAGACCCTTGTTGGTGTGGCTTATTTGGGAAAACCAAAAAAAAACAAATTAACCCCGAGGATTTGCCCCAGGAACCCAAAAAAAATCAGTGTCATCGAAGACTGTCTAACTTTTTCCCCTTGGGTCCTTTAAACTTTTCCCAGGGCAAAACCCACACAAGTCGACTAAAACCCCGGTGAAAGGGAAAAAAAAGCCGGAATAGTGTCATATTGGTGAATTTAAAGCAGCAAAGGTTGGGTTTTTGAGATTTAAGAAACGTAGGGCTACACAGTGTGATAAGGCCTGTTCTGGAAGAAAATGCAAACAGGACCTACAGTATGGAGGAAAGGCCTCCCCGGCACAGTGTTTTTCAGTATTGCTCATCTTCAATAAAGGTAAATGTATTTTTTTCTCTTTAGTAGACTAGTACATGACAATTTTCTGTGCATGTATATCTACTATTGTGTGTATCCTTCTCTTTGTGTGTGGAAAAAAAGATATTTCTGAGTAAAATTTTTTTTTTTTACTTTTTGGGTGTCTTGCACGGTTAATTTATTTCCATTATTTCTTATGGGGAAATTCATTCACATAACGATTATTTCGCATAACAATTACCCCCCTTGCACGGATTAAAATCTTAACCGGGGGTCCCCCTGTACAGTGGACCCCCCCTAGCGCCCTTTAAACCGTGCAAGAGGGCTGGTGTTTGGAAAAGTTGCTAGCGAATGAATTTTCCCCCTAAGAAATAATGGAAAAAAAAATTAATCCGTGCAAGAACCCAAAAGTATGAAAAAAAATTTTTTTTACCAAAAAAAATTTAATTTTTTCACCAAATGAAAAAGGCAGACAATTAATGGACACTTACTTTTATTGAAAATCTGGGGGATGATTGATGGGATGGGAGGAGGGGGGAGAGAGTGTTAGTGTTTAGAAGGGGGAAACCCTCCATTGGGCTTGAGGTAGAAGTCCTTTTTGGGGTTACTTCCCTTCTTCTGTTGTTAAACCTCCACTAGTGGCACCGTCACTGGATTGATTCCAAAGTCGCTGTGGGGTTAGCACTGGAATCGGGCCCTTTCGAACTTTGCAACCACCTAGCTTGGCAACACTTCAACACGGTAATGCCTGTCTAGCTATGTTCCTCGGGAGTCCTTCCTCGAGTATGTAGTGTCCTGCTTGGGCATTTCTTCCAAGGCTGTTTATCGCAATTCCACAGAGTGGTTTGTCCTTGTTTGAATGTCTACTTGAATACCATATTTTTCACCGAATTATGCTATCCAGACGACTGTCACCTGACATTCACTTATCAAGAAGAAATGCCAGCTGCTTAACTAACCCTTCAACCAATTTGGGCCTTAAATCACTCAAATATTTGGGCAGGAAATTTTTGCACCTAAAAAGCGCAAATGCTAGCCTTGCACATATGGATCGCTTGAGAGACGTATTGAATGGGATTTTCATTTGCACCTGAGAAGAGTTTACCCTTCTGAATTTGCGATAACCATGAAAACCATGTTAAATTTGCAACAACGCTTCCAGGACCCTTCTTGCCAATAGAATTGGTTGACATGTGGGTTTGACAACCTGTACAGGCACGGTACGCTCACACCTTTTATCTCCACTTTCTTGGTTTTCCATGGAATCCTACTCTTCTTGCTGTGGAGGTAGTGAACAAGAAGCGTCTTTGCCCTGGACCACTTTTAGAACTGTCATCCAGAAACCTTGTAAAATAGGAATTTGAGTTGTGGGGGTACTTATGGTTGTAAAGCAATGGGAAGGGGCACTGTGAGGATGGGGGGCGACTGGACGCGTCTCGGCGAAGGCCGTGAGGGGTTTGTCACTTGCGGGGCAAATTTTAGCGCAAAGCGTCGCTAGCGGTTGTTTGATGCAAGGGTTGCTATGTGGGGGTCCTGTTTATTATATGTAATAGGTAGTAGGTAGGTAGACAGCAACACCAGGGGCTGTACCTTGTGAGTAAAAAAAAACCTGTAATGATTACATGATGGAAGATGATCGAGGTTTTTGTATAAAACAGATTCAGGTACGTATTGACTACTTACAGATTAACGTCAGTTGATCAATGACAAATGCCAAAATGATCCAACTTCATCTGGTTCTTTTTCTCTATTTTCTGTTTAATGCATTTCAAGGGGATGTGGTAACAGCTCTTAGCCTGCCAATAAGTAGGAATCCTTAACCGTAAATAGCTGTATAAAGCGGGATCTTACCTTGTCAAACCCTGTGTAAAAAAAAAAAAAAAAAAAAAAAAAAAAAAAAAAGGAGGAGAGAGAGAGAGGGAGAGGAGAGAGGAGAAAGGAGGAGGAGAGAAGAGGAGAGAGAGAGAGAGGAAGGAGAGAGGAGAGAGAGGGGGGGAGGAAAGGGGAGAAGAAGGGGGAGAGGAGAGAGGAAGGGGAGAGAGAGAGAGAGAGAGAGAGGAGAGAGAAAAGGGGAGAGAGAGAGAGAAGGAGGAGGAGGGAGAGAGAGAGAGGAGGGAGGGAGAGGGGGAGAAAAAGGAGAGAGAGAGGAAAGGAAGGAGGAGGAGAGGAGGAGGGGAGAGGGGGAAGAGAGGGGAGAGAGGGAGAGAGAGAGAGGAAGAGAAGGGGGGAAAAGAGGGGAGAGAGAGAAAAAGAGAGAGGGAGAGGGAAAAGGGAGGAGAGAGGAGAGGGGAAGAGAGAGAGAGGAAGAGAGGAGAGAGAGGGAGAGGGGAGAGAGAGAGAGAGGAGAGAGGAAGAGAGAGAGAAGAGGAGAGGAAGAGAAGGAGAGGGAGTAGGAGGGGAGAGAGAAGGAAGGAGGAGAGGAGAGAGAGAGAGAGAGAAAGAGGG